AGGCTCTGATAAAAGATGCAATATAAGTTAAGCGAGTAAATCTACGAAGGAACAGAGGTGACGTTTACCCTAAACCAGGGAAATGCACGTGCGAAGCCAGTCTTAACCAGATATAGGCATCCATATGTGACAAACAGATTAGCAGACGAGACTGAGCCAGCAGCTACAAAGAACCTATTCTCAAGATAAGGAAGGACACTGGCCGTGGTCAGATGCACGTTACTAGATAAGGTGTGAGTGAAAGCAAATGGAAATCCTTTCTTTCCACTGACCTAGATACTGCCATTCCCTTCCCAGTCTCCCAAGCTTCCATCCATCAATTCTCTACAAGTCTTGAACCTCGATGATGTGGGTATCTGTCGGTTTCAGTCCGACTATCACGAGTGGTTTGGTTCGGTATAGTATGGTAGCGTAGCCGTCGGGACCAAGGTTCCCTCCGAACCTTCCATGCTCCAACAATCCTGCCCGTATCGTTGAGCAGATTCGCCACTGCATGTGCTTCAAAAGGGGGCCACGGGGAGGTCGAATTTCTCAAGCGGGGAACTCTGGGTATCAAGCTCGGATCTTCTCTTTCTGCCCCACGGATGGGCAGGTTCGGAAAAAATCTTGGAGATAGTCGAGCTGATGATAGTGTGGGGGTGTAGCGATAACTCGCGAAGACTCGGCCGTCATTGATGTCTTTCGCCCATCTTCGTTACGAGAAAATTCTACAGCGGGTGCTTCAGTCATGAACATGTTAGTTCCAGTAACTCTCTGAACGAGTGGTTCAAGCATCAAATACAACATCTCCTCCAATAGGTAAATGGTCACTAGGGAAAAAAAGGTTTGGCAAACCCCCAGCCAAGTGGGAATCAGAATCATTAGGAATCCATAGAGTGGAATGCACAAAAAAACCTCCAGAATCTGTAGAGACAAAAATGTAGTCCACGGTTGCCTTGAACTCCGCAGTGAAGCTTGTAAAAGAAGGTTCAAGGTTCTGCGGCATGTCGTCCCACTCAGTCGGTGAAGTATGAGCAGCAGCATGGCACATGGATCTCTCTTTGGTAGCCACAGCATTGAGACTTGCAAGTGGAATGGGCGCATCATTGGCTGCCGAGGAGCCACCCGCATAGCTATCGTCTCCCGCACTGCAATCTCCTTCATACCTCTCGTCACTTGTGTGGCCAGAAACAAGATACCTGTACACCTGTAGTGCGGAAAGAAAATGTTGGGTATTTGGGAAAATATTGAGTACATGGATCACGAAAAAATAAGTCATCCTTGAAAAGAGTAAGACTGCCCTGAGAAAACGACAGGAAAGGTCTTACCGGGTCTCCGGGCTTTGAGTTGAAGTCACCACATATGACCACCGGAATATAATTCTGATCCTTCTTCCCCTCCATGCACGAACCATCCGCATGAGAAGAACTGCCTCCTCTTAACTGAAAGTCAGCACTTAGCTGCGTCGGCCCGTAGCAACGATGATCATTAAGGGCTTCAATATCTGATCTGAATCGGGCCACCTCCTGCAGCAGGTACTGGGCCTGAGCCAATTTCACATCAGGACAGCTGGGGTTCCTGCAGGGTTCTCGAAGAACACATTGGGAAGGCCTGAACACATGTTGATTTTTGAAACGTCCCAGAAGTAGTTTCCTGCAGCAGGTTATGGCCGATAGTAGCAGTCACACAAAGCTCCGATTGCTCCACAGCACTGCAAGGCACTGGGGAGTATGTTTTGAGAATTCTGAAAGACATTGGGCACTAGGGAGAAACATGCACCGTCAATAAGAAAAAATAAGGACAACAGACAAAGATACCTGGGGCCAGGTAAAAGGGGGGAGAGAGGAAGGACATTGTACTGCATCGTACCAGTAAATGTGTGATGAGACCACGATGACAATGCGACCTCCACCAGGTGCGCCCTGTGCAGAAGAACCCCCAGCCGTTCCAGAGGAGTCGGAGGAGTCAGGCGGATTGACCTCTTGAAAGGCGGCCACTACAGCAACGCAGTCACGCTTGAAGCGAATCTGAGGATCCGACATGTCAAGAGGCTGGTGATGCTGCTGGTGGTGCTGGTGCTGCGGATGGTGATGATGGTGATCATGCTGATGATGCTCCTGCCCTTGCTGTGCCTCCTCCTCCTCCTGCTGCTGCTGGTCTGGATGCTGCTCGTTATGACTGACGCATTCTTGATGGCCAGGGTCGATTTTCTCGTTGCACATGTGATGGTCATCCAGCACATGAATGTGGTGACCCGAATCATGATGATGCTCCATGCGAGGGCTCTCAAGCTCATGCTTGGTCTGCTGCTCATAATGCTCCCCATCCGCCGCATCCGTACCGTCCGTTCTGTCATCTTGAGGAACAAGGTCGTTAAAGTTGATCACACATGAACGGAAAACTCGGAATCTGAAACGCCACGGAGGGGGGACGATTGCGAAAGGCAGAAGCCGGAGGCGCTAGGCGTGTAGGTGAAAATTCCAAGTAATTTTGGCGGGGTGACAACTGGATGGAGTCAAGGGAGGCACTATCTGGCACTTCAGCCAAGGCACATGGCCACGCCAAGCCAGCATGCACATGCGCCACACCAAGCTACGAGCACATGCATGCATTCACGCATGTACCTTTCAGTGCGGTAGAAGATGCCACTTCCATCAGCATGTGGGCCTGGCCGCTTGGCATACACCACATGCCATCCCTCTAGAGCCATGGGCGTGTGAAGTAAATGCTTGTACTCCATCTCCTGGAAATGCGTTGGATGGGAAGATAAGAGAAAAGGAAGGGGTGAGCCGTTAAGTGCATGGCGTTTCAAAAGCTGATCATAACACACAAATGAATATGGCAGGCTCACCTGAACGCAGATGAAATCAGCAGAGAATGAGTTGAGGAGGGAAAGGCGCGCATGGATGCGATAACTCTTTCTGATGGCAGGAAGGAGGGTGGGAGCAGAAATAAGGTGAAGGCTTGGCGACAGGTGAGTGACAGGAAGAAGAAGACGAAGAGTGGACAGGAAGGGATTAAGGAGCAGCTACTCGTTCTGTCAGTGGAAGTGGGATGGTTGGCGAGAAACACGGAAACATGGTTTCTCGCGGAAACATGGTTTCTTGAGGAAACATGGAAACGACTGGAATTACATGCCACAACGGTAAGTAGGGTGTAATAATCTAATGCGCATCAAAACTATAGGGTGCACCTGAGAGAGAGGGGAGGAGAGGTGTACCTGAGAGAGATGGGTGATGAGAGGAGGGGTATACCTGAAATTGAGGGGAGAAGAGGTGTACCTGAGAGAGAGGGGAGGAGAGGAGGGAAACTTCTTGCGTGAGACAGCTGCAAGAATGGGTGGGCGAAGGGTGGGTCCAGGGAGGGGGACAAGGTAAGAAAATTTCAGGAATAACATAAAAGCAGCGGATTTCGGAAACTACATTTGCGAAGCTGGTTTAGCCATAACGAATGCCGACAATACTACACATTAAAGGGATGCAGTAGAAGGGAATTCATGAGAGAAAGGCACAGGAGAAAATTCACAGGCGAAGACGGGCTGCTGCTGGTTGGTACACACATGGCTGGGCGAGAACGTTGTACGAGACCACTCGGATGGTGAAACCTGGAGAGCCAGAGCCATTGTACAGTATATGGAGGACGCGTTAAGTAACATAATAAGTGACGGCTCATAGTATAAAAAAGAGACTCCTGAACACTGAACAGGGTGAGAGTAGACAAGGCGACTTGAAAGAACTAAGATGACTTTTAGGTCGAACAGGTGATGCTTGAGTCGACCCAGAGAGCAAACGGTAAGACCGGAAAATAATGAGGAGATACAAATGCGGGGCTAGAAGGAGCAAGTGAAACACAAGTCTGTATGTGCTTGGTCAGATGCGAAGGAAGAGACGCGAAACTGCAAAGAACACACGAGACTCGAGGTGACAGGAAGGTCAAATATCGAAGTCCTACCATCATGGTGCTGGCTTGAAGTTGCCGTCCGTCTTTCACGTTCATCTTTATCGTCTTGCTGCGTCGTTGCTTCGTTACGAGCTTCTTCGCGACAGCAGTTAACCTCCACAAAACTTGGTACCATTAGTGCGGTCTCATCAACCGCGCTGCCCTTTGTATACAAACTCTCTTTTCAAAGTATGATACAAGGACAAATGATGCTCAATTCTAGCCATCAGGATTAGGGGTTTCTAGCACGGATTTTCCATGTAAGCTATCATCGGTAAATTAAATTCATCCATCATAAAACTTCCTACGTTCTTGCATAGAATGTTGGCCGTTGTTTTGCCACTTCCTAATAAGCGTTTCACTAGCCGTTTGGGGTGCCAAATGGCCAATACAAGAATATCGATTCATTTCACAAAGGGTCAATGTAAAGCTGCCTTTCTCCTTCTCTTTCCAGCTTTCTGTTTCTTTTGCAGCTCTCAGTCTCCCCACTACTCCCACTAGATCTGGTCCGCGAGGGCAGCTTCTGCTCTAGGTTGACTGGTATTCTTGCTGGTCAATCAGGTGGTTAGTAGTTCATTAGCATAAGTAGCTCTGTGTTTTTTTCCGATTAGGCTCCGACAAGACTGCTCTAGAAATTTCCAGCTTTTAGTTTAAGGCGGTTGTTCGAAGAACGGCCGGCAGCTTGTGACGCACCTAGCATGATCTCGCAGTTCTTCATCCTCTCTCCTCGCGGCGACTCCATAATCTTTCGAGATTACCGCTGCGATGTGCCGAAAACGAGCCCCGAGATCTTCTTCCGGAAATTTAGGTTCTGGAAAGGGGACAATGAAGCAGCGGAAGAGGCTCCCCCGATCTTCAACCTGGATGGAGTGAATTACCTCTACATTAAGTGCTCGGGCCTGCTTTTCGTCGCCACGGCCCGCGGAAATGTTTCTCCGTCTTTTGTCCTGGAGCTCCTGCAGCGGATCGCTCGCGTTGCCAAGGACTACCTCGGTATTCTTAACGAGGAGTCTCTTCGGAAGAACTTCGTCCTTGTTTATGAGCTGCTCGACGAAATGATGGACTTTGGGTATCCGCAGAGCATGTCCACTGAGGCGCTTAAAGCGTTTGTTTTTAACGAATCGGTACCGATCATGGACTCGTCGCCGCTTCCAGGAGGGGTTCCTGGGAGTGGAATGATCGTTCCTCCTGCGCTTGGAGGAGCAGCTGCTTCGCTGTTCATGACTGGCGGTCGGAACCGGGTTCCAGGAGCGGCTATGATGAGGTCCGTGGTGGCTCCTGATACAGGCGTGAAGAAGCGGGAGGAGGTATTTGTTGATGTGATCGAACGGCTGAGCGTGACTTTTAGCCCCAACGGATACATCCTGACGTGTGAGATTGACGGAACCATACAGATGAAGAGTTATCTGACCGGGAATCCTGAAGTTAAGATAGCTCTTAACGAGGACCTCGTTATAGGCCAGAGGAACGCGCCAGCGTCGTTGCTGTATGGAGGGGGAGGCGGGATGGGGGAGGATGGGAGCGGAGGATTCGGAATCGTCGTTCTAGATGACTGCAACTTCCATGAGAGCGTACGTTTGGATACTTTTGATGTGGACCGGACAATGACTCTCGTGCCACCAGACGGGGAGTTCTCAGTCATCAATTACCGCATGACCCACGAGTTCAAGCCTCCGTTCCGGGTCTATCCGGTTTTGGAGGAGATCACCCCGTTCAAGGTAGAGCTGTTCATAAAGTTAAAGGCAGAGTTCCCCGCCACAGCAACTGCCAATTCCATTGTCGTCCGTGTGCCGCTGCCCAAGAGTGTCATTAAAGTGAGCTGTGATTTAGACCCTGGAGCTGTGGGACAGTCAACGGATTTCAAGGATGCGTCCAAGATTCTGGAGTGGACTATAAAGAAGATGCCTGGTGGTGGGAATGAGCATACATGCCGGGCCAAGATGACCCTGAATCAGGAGCGGGGTTCAGGGAACATGAAGAAGGAAACTGGTCCAATTAGCCTGTCGTTCAATATCCCCATGTACAATGCATCTAGGCTCCAGGTAAGGTATTTGCAGGTGTTGAATAAGGGAAAGGCGTACAATCCATACCGCTGGGTGCGGTATGTCACTCATGCCAATTCATATGTTGTGCGTTTATAATGGATTGAGGTCAGTGGATGAGATTGGTGGTGCAGCTTTCATCATCAAGGTTATTGCTCCCGTCCTAAGCTTTTACTCCTTACATTTCTAGCGTGATTGATTTGAATATTTAGTGTTCATACAAAATTACATGTTGGCCTGGGTAAGTAGGTGCATATGCTTTCGAGGGATCAGCCTGCTGATATGCTTTCCTTTTTACAGCCAATCAGGATTGTCAAGGCCTTACATCCAAACCAACCCCCCGCCCATTCCCCGACCACCGTGGCGCGGTCTGGAACGCCCCTCTTGAAAGTGGCCTTCGCCAAATGCACCACGCTATGTATCATTGCAGCATTCCAAACCGTTCATTACCTCTCTGGAAATTCATGTGTTGTGTGGGGGGAAAGGGAGACGCTTCTGATAAAGCAGGGATCCACCCCCCAGCAGAGCACCATTGATTCATTTCTATCGTTAGCTGATGTCGTTCGCCCTACGATATCTAGTGTGTAGGGAAGGTTTCTATGAGTTCCTGCTTCCAAGCTATTAGCTTGTAAGCTTCATTTCAGATGCAGTTGCTCGTGTGAGTCATGGTTTCCGGAGTCTTATCCTTGTCAGGCGTGAGTATTGATTGTCTTGCACACAACGTCCGATTATTTGCTGGGCAAGCCGATCAGGCACCAGGATGAGCGATTAGTATCAGCAACGTTTTATGAACTCGGTCTAAAAAACAATTCAGACCTTGTAGTTTTGAAGCAGATCAAACTCAGCTCACCGATAAAATATGGGCTGGCCAGGAGCTAGGCATCGATCGTCACAAGAGGAGCTTCTAAGCAGAGTATCTGAAATGACTAACGGGGAAGGCAACATGCTGGGGAATTCTGACTTTGAGCTTTCCGTCCCAGAGAACTTAAACACCATGTCAGCATCGTTGGCTTCGCGACTTGCAAAGGTTGTCAAAGAAGCTGCTCTCGAAGCCAAGCTGCACGAGGAACGACTCAAGCCACGGCCTAGCCGGAAAACCCACTGGCTCGAGATATTCCGGGACTATGTCTATCCCGGACAAATGATATTGCCAGGCAATAGGTAAAGTGTGGTCAAACAATACGGCTTTTTTCATAACTTCTCCAGAGCCGATTGATGACGCATACGGTCTTTCCTGGCAGGTTCCATTGGTACTGGAGACTAATTGTCATCGTCATGGCACTATACTCCTCTCTTATCACCCCGTTCGAGTTCGCCTTTTTTCGATTGAGATTTCCTCCTCTGGGTATACTAATCATGGACATTGTGTCAAATGTCATATTTCTGGCGGACATTTTCATCACGTTTAGAGTAGCCGTTAAGGATCACCGGACAGGCACTCTGATTGCTGACCGAAGGAGGATTGCAATAAGGTGCGTTACTTTCTGTTATCCTACAAGTTTTTTTTATCAATCCTTTGATCACCGATGCAGAAATCTCGCAGGTACCTGCAGGGCTGGTTCACTCTTGACTTCCTCTCATGCGTTCCATGGGAATACGCATACCAGGTAATCTTCTTTCCTGTTCTACAAGACTCGCAAAGTTCTGGGATGAGAACCTCTCTTGGATGTTCACTTGAGAATGCAAGTGAGATGACGGTTCTTTCCTTGCTCTTTTCAGGCAAGTGTACACCTCGTGTTTGAGATTCTATTGTGGCTCCGACTGATTCGTGCTCGTCAGTTAAAAGAATTTGCTGACAGGCAAGATCACCAACCCTTCATTCTTTCAGTCAATGTCAAAACAACATGTGATGTCCACTCAGATTTTTTTTTTTTTTTTTTTTGCAGGTTGGGGAAGGACACGCGCTACCACTACTTTCTGGTTCGCTGCACGGAGATGTTTCTCACAGAATTTTATGTGGTCCACAGTGCTGCATGCATTATGTACTTCCTCGCTCTCACCATGCCTGAAGATCAATCAGGATACACATGGATTGGAAGCCTTCAGCTTGGAGACCAGAGCTACGCTGACTTTCGAGACATGGACATTTTTCAGCTTTATTGTGTGAGCCTCTATTGGGCTATGGTGACAATGGCGAGTCTTGGTGAGTCCGGGAACATCTTGTGCCAGCAGAATTCCTCATGTAATCTTCATTTTTAATGAGGAGCAATAACCCTCAACAATGCTGCCCTTTTCAGGTTATGGAGATGTTCATCCTGTCAATCCTCGAGAGATGATTTTCACCATTGCCTTCGTGGTTTGGGACATGTTGTTCACGGCATACCTTATTGCCAACTTCACAGCTTTGGTTGTCAGATACCAGTCAAGATCAGAGATCTTGCGTGAACGACTTTCAAATGTTACCAGATATGCCAACAGGTGCTGCACTGCACACCCTGTCGCCATCAGTTTGTACCTGCCATGGTTGGGGAATTATTCTCAACGTTAATATCTCAACATTTCCGCAGTGTCAAAGTCTGCTAGTACCATGATTCTGATGTTTCATCCTTGTATGCCGCCATCAGGAAGCAGATTCCTGCTGGAATGAAGGAGCAGCTGCTATCCCACGTGGTGCTGAAGCAAGAGGCGTTGGAGGAGGACAACAAGCTGGTCAACGAGTTCCCCATCTCCATCCGTGATGGGGTCGCAATGTCCCTGCATGGGAAGGTGCTCGCAGATGCGTATCTCTTCCAGGGCTGCTCAAAGGCGTTCATTCAATTCCTGGTAGGTTGTACTCCTCTGAGCAAAAAAAGACCCGTTTTACCCACTACACTTGCCATTGCTTTCACAGGATTGTGACAGTTGTCTTGACTTGCCGCGGTTTCTAGTATTTTCATCTTCTTAGACGAGGCTGCTCAAATCTCTATTGATTTTGTCCACTTCATTGCAAAATCCACTTGCATTCCGTTATTGTTGCAGGTTTCACGACTGCGAGTGGAGTATTTTCTTCCCGGGGAGGTGGTGGTGAGTCGGCATGACAACCACCATCAGCTCTATCTGCTCGTGCAAGGAGAAGTGGTGAGATAGACACACTTGTTGTTTGTCCTACCCGTGTTCGAACCAAAGTGCAATACCAGACTCAACATCATTACCCCTTCACCTCTTCTTCACACGCCTCTCCACTTTCACATATCTGTCCGTTTTATCTGTGCAACGTTTAGGAAGAAGTTCATTTCAGCAGGAATGGAGCTCGAGTGGCAACGGTATGGAGTCCAGGGGAGATGTTTGGGGAGGCGGGGTTACTCGCCAGCAAGTTCTCCCCATTCACTGCTCACGTCAAGTCGTTCTGCAAGGTGCTGAGGATTGATGGCCAGGTCTTTTCAGAGGCCATTGCGTTTCATCAGGAGGATGGAGAGAGGATTATCAGCAATTATTTGCAGGTGAGCTAGCAATAGTGAATGCATTGGTTCATGGCGTTGATTCAAGGAATTGGTTCAGAACAATAAATCAATCACGTTGTGGTTCCCAGGAGCATGTTCTAGTAAGCCGCACTTCATTTCGCCCTTCCCCTCCCTTCCCTCCTCCACCCCCCAACCACACCACCCTCTCCCTCCCCTCACCACCCCTTCCCTTCCGGTCATTGCAGAAATTCGGCCATTCGGAATCTGAACCGCTAGACTTTGGTCAGCCCAGGGCTCGTCGTCTCACAGACACGGCAGAGGAAGTGCGCCGAGCCGTGACACAGCGGCAGGCACAGCAGACGCTGAGCGCCATCCAGCAAGCAGCACGCGGGGACCTGGATCACCTCAAGATGTTGCGAAAGCTCGGAGCGGACTTTTCGAAAGGGGACTTTGACGGCCGGACTGCACTGCACCTGGCAGCTTCTAGGGGCTTTCCGGACATCTGCAGTTTCATATTGAGAGAGGGAGGCGCTGCCAACAGGAAAGGTGAGCACAGTGTTTCATGTGAAGAAAGGGAGGAGGCACCAGACCATGACTGTGCATGGATGACAGCCAAGGTGCGCCGTGCTCCTATTACAGCTCCCAAGTTTAATTAGCACATAGCCCCATCACATCAGTGTCCTCCCTCCCTTCCCTTATCCCCTCGGACCGGTTCGGCGTGACGCCTCTCCTGGAAGCCCTTTGAGCAGGCCACATGCAGACAGCCGAGGTTCTTCAAGATCCCCATCAGTGCCCTCTCGCTCTCCCCTTATCCCCTCAGACCGATTTGGTGTGACGCCTCTCCTGGAAGCCCTTCGAGCAGGCCACATGCAGTGCAGACAGCCGAGGTGCTGCTGTAACTTCCAATGGCTCAGGGCCGAACCCCATCCGTGTCCTCCCTCCCTCCCCTTATCCCCTCAGACCGATTCGGTGTGACGCCTCTCCTGGAAGCCCTGCGAGCAGGCCACATGCAGACAGCCGAGGTGCTGCGGGAGCACGGCGCTCAGATCCTCCTGGACGACCCCGCAAGCGAGCTGTGCCATGCGGTGAAGCGCGGTATGGTGGAGTACCTCGAGCGCCTGCTCTCCTTCGGACTTGACCCCAACGAGGCGGATCATGACCTGCGCACGCCCCTGCACGTGGCAGCAGCTGAGGGCTCCGTTGTGCTCGTGCGCCTGCTGTTGGAGCATGGGGCGGATGCATGGGCGCGGGACCGGCTGGGTAACCTGGCGGTGGACGAGGCTTGCCGGAATGGGGCGAGGCCGGTGATTGCGCTGCTCAAGGATGGCATGCGCGTGAAGCTGCCGCCGCTGGCAAGTCGACCTCCAGGTATTTTCTTGGAAGAGTCTGGAGCTGAGAGGGCTTTAGCTTCATGGGATGTCGAGCATCTTTTTTAACTCATTGTTGAGTCTGGCAATTTCTTTCGATGCATCACCATTTTTTATGTCTGTTTGTCTCTCGGCGCATGCCCTTCGATTCTTTAATCTCTTCAACTTATGGAATGCCTTTACTCTGTTCTCCCGTCCAGCTGGACGAGCCTCTTTGACTCGTGGAGGCTCACAGCGCCGCCGCCACACCCACCACCAGCCTTCATCTTCCAACGCAGGCGCCCCGGCCACTACAAGCACCGCTGCCACTACCACCACTGGCACGACTAATACTGCCAGCAGCAACACAGCCAGCACTCCCCGCCACTCCCAGCCCAGCAGGCGGCGCTCCCACAGTGTAGACACCTGGTCGGACCAGATCGAATCCGTTCCTGAAGGCAGCAGCTGGGGAGCCGCGTCCCCCTCCACCTGCCTGCCTTCCGACCCCTTCCTCCAGCAGCGCGTGATGCACCTGCGCCGCCGCCCCACCAGCTCCGTGCACATCCCCAGTGATCTCCTGGCCGACCTCCTCCCTGGCTCAGTCATTGACGAGTACAGCTCAGAGCACCAGACGGCTTCGAATCAGCCGCTCTTCACCCCTCCTGCGTCGCCCCTGGCGCATTCTCTCCCCCCGAAGCTCCATTCTGCTGTTTCTTTGAGCCCACCGACCTCCTGTGATGGCTCTGCGTCGCAGCCTCGCTCGTCATCAGCTACCTTCCCACTCTCTGAGCCGTATCCCCCATCTATTCCAGATCCACACGCCACACATGCCGAACACACCGCGCACACCGCACCATACCGCTCTGCCTCCGCTGCTCTCCCCCCTGTTCCACCTGCCCCTGGCATAGCCTCTGCTCCCCGTGCACAACAGCGGCCCACGCCCCTCACCATCAGCCCTCTAGACAGAAGCTTCAGCCGCTCCTCCACAGCCCCGCATTCATCACTAGACGAAGTGCGCACCCAACTGATACCCTCACCAGAACCCCCCACTCCCTATGCGACTAGCCAGCCCTTGTCAGGACCCCTGTTGAGAGTGGGAGAGCCGATCACTCCGTACCCTCATCGCAACTACATCCCTGCAGGGTCGTTTTCAGGGTCGTTCAGGGCGTTGCCTCCGCCCCCCACCCCATCTGTGGCTGTGGCCAACCGCCGAGTCACAGTCTTCCCATGCCAACCATGGGACACTGGACAATCTGGCAATCCATGTGGAGATTCTCCTGGAGATGTTGTACTTAGCGAGGGAGCTCGTGGTAGGGATCCACATCAATGTTCCCCTGATCAGGCAGTGCGTTCATCAGGGGATTCCGCATCGCCTGGACCTGGGAGGGAAGGAGGTGTTGGGAGCCGGGCTGGGGAAGAGAAACCATCCATGGGACGACCATATGGGAAGGTGGTGTTGGTACCTCTCTTCGTGGTGTCCTTGAAAGAGCAGCTGAGCGCGCTGTTCGGATTCCCTGTGAGAATCCTTGTGAATAAGGATGGTGGGGAGATTACTGACACAGATACCATACGCGATGGAGATGTCATCTTTGCTCCACCACCTCAACCTGCTTTATCTGGTAAGCTACATGTGCATGTATTACATGTGCGTGCATTACATGTGCGTGCATTACATGTGCATGCACATGCTTGTGCATGAAGACATGCATACTCAGCCAGCTGTACGAATGCTACATCACACGAACCAGTGCTGTTATAAGGGGTTTCCCTCACCTTGTGACTCTGCTTTGCTGTGCCTCTCACTCCTCTTCTGTGGCAGATCCTCTCGTGTGCCAATCCTGCCGATGTCGAAGAGGACAAGCACCAGGTGATTCCAATTGATTGCCCTGCATGTATCGTTCAATCTTGTATCTGGCATGCAATGTTAGCCTACAGCGCAAATATCCTTACATGTACCATGTACATCAACGTGCTAGTTCATGAACAGACTTCCTCTCATGCAGGCAACTACTAGCTAGCAGTGCATGCTCCGGTGGGTACTTGTCAGGTAAGGCTATACCTTCGTTGCTCTAATGAAGATTTGGAGACATCCATCCTTACAAACTCAGCGTGCTGAAGCATTCTGTGCACCAGGATACTGCACCCAGTGTTTCAGATTATGTGCAAACCATACCGTAATTGTTGGTCCAATACGGTAAACAGAGCATCAACATGTATGTACAATCAATTTCCTCTGCTACATGAAGTCTCCACTACCAATGCATCCACGGAAGGCACAACACACTATAGTGGCTCCAACAGCCATGTGCCCAAACTGCACTTATTGCAGTCCCTTCACTGCAAACCCCACAACAAAGTTTGAAAATGGTGTTGCATGGGTGAAGTGAGCGAAGAAAGAACCAGGACGTTGGAACAACAGCAATCCCGCACCAGTAATAACTCCCATTCTACCGTAATTCCCCACCATACAACACAGCCCGCCTTCTCCTTCTACTGCAAACAACCTCAAAACGCTCCGAGCAGCCCCAGCACACCCCAGCCTTCATCCCAGCTCGAGCTCGGCTTCTCCCCACACCGCACGCCTCCGAAGCCACTCCTGCTGAATCCCACCTCCCCTGCACCCACCCTCCCAGCACAAGCAGACGGCACAGAATCGCGTAAACTAGCCTCGGGAAAACCCTCCCCTGCAGCCACTCGCCTCTCCTCTGCTTCTCCTCCGCACACCAGGAGCCCTCCGCGCGACTGCTTCTCAAAATTCGTCACGTCACCTTCCCGTGCTTCCGCTTTCAGCGGGTCTGCTCCCATCCGATTGCCCTTCGCCGCCGTATCTGCTGCAGGTACGTTCGCCAGGTTCGCCATCGGAACCCGAAGCTGCGAGGGAGCATCGGAACCGGCGGGCCGTGCTGCAGCAGCCGAGACCTCGTGTGATGATGTTAACGATGCACGCGCCTCACCCTCCCATACGACCCCTGTATTCTCCTTCGACTGCGCCGCCGCCGCGGCCGTCGCAACCGACCGATCCACCGTCCGTTCCTCCGCATCGCGCAACAGACGCGCGCAGTCCGCGCTGCCCACCCGCTCCGCGTACTCCCGCGGGCTCCGCCCTTCCGCGTCCGCCGCCCCGCACAGCGCGCCGTGGCCGAGTAGGAGCTGCACCATCTCCGGATTCACCTGCTCCGCCGCCAGATGGAGCGGCGTTACCAGCCGTTGATCCTCCGCGCTCACCGACGCGCCGCGGTTGATCATCACGCGGGCAAGAGAAACATTTCCAGACGCTGCGGCGTAGTGAAGGACCGTGCGACCGTACTTATCCCCGGCTTTTAACGAGCGCGGAGGAGTGCTTATAAGGAGGATCTTCGCGATGTCTTCGAGGCCCACGGCGACCGCCCAGTGCAGAGGGGTGCGATCGATCTTGTCGCGAGCTGTTACGCGCGCGCCGCGATCGATGAATCTACGGACGGCGAGGATTCGACCGGAAAGAACGGCGGCGTGAAGCTCGGTGGCGTAGGGACTGGCTGATACGCCCATCGTACCGTCCGTCTGGCTGGGCTTCCGGAGTGTGGAATCGAGAATCTGACTAGAACGAAAAACGAGCCCTAACAAGGAAACGATGCAAGCGTTTTTCAAGGCGTGGAGGGAAGAAAAAGTTTCTGGAAAGGAGTAGTCTGGAAGAAATATACAGCTCCGTCGAGGTCTAGAGAAGCAAGTCTAGTGGATTCCAACAGGCAGTGGTATGTATGTCGCTTCTTGTGGTGTCAACGAGTGAGCGACTCTCAGTAAGCAGGAATCCTATCCTAACTCAGAAGTAGGCAATTATTGGACGTGACATGTGCCCAGCAAGCGAAGGAAAGCAGAAGGAATCCACTCCAACACGCAAATGGCGCTAGGGAGGAACTGGGAGGAGTGTGCAAGGGGAAAAGTGGGGTTCTGGATTGCGTGAAGAAAAGGGAGCTTGCAAGTTTCGGTCTGATTTGAGAAGAACATTCAGCGGTGAAGGGAGACAGGGGGAAGGGATGAAGGAGCCGAGGCGGATGTGCAGAGAAGCAGCGGCGGATGGACAAACACGAGAGACGCGTTTCGGCGCTTTTCGCAGGAATGGACGGTTCCGATTGAGGCGTTTCGGTGCGCTGGTTGTGGGTTCGGGTCAGAAGATTTCCGCGACCGCGCAAATAATTGAGGTTGGGGGGAAACTGTGGTGCAATAATGCGCAGCCGCGGAACAAAAACTTTTTCCTTGGGGAAGGTCAGGTGAACCGCGAAGGCCGCTTGCCCTGCTTGAGATGCGGCTGGTTGCCGAAGCGCTCATCGAGTCTGTCTGACGCCACCTGCGGTCGGACAACCACCACACTTGCAGCGCTCTTTCGTGTTGCTTAGCAAAGCGAGTCTCGTAGCGCCTTCGACTTGTCCTTTGAATTCTGCGACCAGTGGGTAACAAGGGAATGGTCATTACACGCGACGAACGGCTGCGTGTCATGCACTGCTCCCTAATGACGCAAGCAAGGAGGTCAGGTGACGTGGACTGTTCTGATCCACTATGGTGCAGTCCGTTTCACCCATATTAGTGCAGTCCGTTGCTATAACTGTGTAGTTATTCTAGCCAGATTAGTCCGCTTGTCCCGTGTAACACAAGGGGTTACTCAAACAGTCTAATATCGTTCGCAACGTTCTGACATCGTCAGTGCCGACCCAATCTGCTTGTCACACAAAACAAAACCCCGCTATACCCTGTCAGACCCTGGTAAAACCCTTCGCCCTGATTGTTCAATGCACCTCACACAACCTTGACCGAGTCTTCCTCTGAGCGAGGCACATTTCACGGGTTTATGGTCTGGGTTTCGCTGCCACCTCACAAGAACACCCAGACATCGTGCGGAAATCATTTAGTTTTGCCGAGCTTCGCAATTTGCGCCTCGGCTCCTCCTCGGTTGTTCCTCGGCTATTGGGCGAGGCGCTATCACCCGTACTCCCGTCTTGCGTGTGCTGTAGTCGCCGCGCGTTACCGTCGATCTTAGAAGCCCGCATGGAGCAACCAGAGCCTAAAGCCGAGGCTGTTGCCATGGACACGTCGGCTCCCGGAAATCAAGGAAATCCCGCTTCTCAACCAGCAAACCCTCCGTCCGGATCGACGGCTGCCGCTGCAGCTGCTCCCGCAAAACCCGCCGCAGAAGCCGCCGCTACAGCCGGTGCCGCTGCTACAGCTGCTCCCGCAGCAGTCCAAGTAGTGCCGCCTAAGGGCTATGTGCCATACGTTCTTAAATACACGCTTAACGGACATAAGAAGGCGATTTCTAGCGTTAAGTTTTCGCCCGACGGAAAATGGTTAGCCAGCTCGTCGGCCGACAAAACCGTCAGGATCTGGCACGCAGCTGACGGCAAGCCGTCAGACCCGCCGCTCGTGGCACATACGGAGGGAATAAGCGACATCGCATGGTCGTCCGATTCGCGTTACATCTGCTCCGCATCGGACGATCACACGCTGCGAATATGGGACGTTACGGGAGGGCAGGCTGCTTCTAGCGGGGATGCTAATAGCGGAGCCGCGCCAACCACGCGTCCGTGCGTGCAGATCCTAAAGGGGCATACTAACTACGTATTTTGTTGTAACTTCAACCCTCAATCCAATCTCATAGTTTCCGGCGCGTTCGACGAGACGGTTCGGCTGTGGGACGTGAAAACGGGCAAGTGCGTGAAAGTCTTGCCTGCCCACTCGGACCCTGTAACGGCGGTTCATTTCAACCGCGACGGGTCGCTGGTGGTGTCGAGCTCGTACGACGGGCTTTGTCGTATCTGGGACACGCAGACGGGGCACTGCCTGAAAACCCTAATCGACGACGACAACCCGCCCGTGTCGTTCGTTAAATTCTCGCCCAACGGAAAGTTTATCCTCGCCGGCACGCTCGACAATACTCTGGTGAGGATTCCTGTTGTCCCCCATCTCCCGCCTCTTCCGCCTCTCCCCCCTCTCTCTCCTCTCCCCCCTCTCTCTCCTCTCCCCCCTCTCTCTCCTCTCCCCCCTCTCCCGCCTCTCTCTCCTCTCCCCCCTCTCCCCCCTCTCCCGTATCTCTCCCCTCTCCTCCCTCTCCCCCCTCGCCCCTCTCCCCCCTCTCCCCCCTCTCCTCCCAACCCCCGTTACAACCCCCCTCCCCCCCTTCCACCTCCGCCCCGCTTCCATCCCGCCGCTGCCCCTCCCCTCTTGCCTTCCCCAACGGAAAGTTCATCCTCGCCGGCACGCTCGATAATACCCTGGTGAGGATTTCTTTCGCCCCCATCTCCCGCCTCCTCCGCCGCCCCCAACCCCCCTCCCCACACCCCCCGGTTACATCACCCCCCTCCCCCCGTTACAACATTCCCGCCTCTCCTTCCCCCCGTTACAACCCCCCTCTCCCCCCTTCCGCTTCTGCAAGAAATACTGCATCTTCACCTGCCCTTCCCCCCTCCCCTCGTTCCCCTGCTTCCCCCTCTCCTCCCCATTCCGCCAGCGACTGTGGAATTATGCGACTGGCAAGTGTTTGAAGACCTACACAGGCCACGTGAACAAGAAATACTGCATCTTCTCAACCTTGCCTCCCCTATGCCTTTCTCCCCTCCCCCGCTTCCGCTTCCCGCATTCCACCCTTATGCCCCCCCCACTTACAATCGACCAGCGTCTGTGGAATTATGCAACAGGCAAGTGTTTGAAGACCTACACAGGCCACGTGAACAAGAAGTACTGCATATTCTCAACCTTCTCGGTGACCAACGGGAAATACATAGTGAGTGGCTCGGAGGACAATAGTGTGTACCTGTGGGACCTACAAGCGCGTACAGTGGTGCAGAAGCTCTCAGGGCACACTGATATTGTTCTCACTGTGGCTTGTCATCCAAGCGAGAATATGATCGCTTCTGGAGGGTTGGATCAAGATCGGACGGTCAGGATTTGGGTGCAGGAGAGTGCTGGTGCTGCTGCAGGAGGGAAGGGGTGAGGGGTGGAGATTGGTGGAGATGGGTTGAGGGAAAGGGCTGGTTAAGGGATGGTTATGGGTTTGGCGTAGGGGTTGGGGATGTGATGTGATTCGCTTTGGTGAGGGATCAGGTCAGCAGGGTGAAGGATGTTCGTGATTGTAAAAGTGGAATTGGGAATTTTGAACGATTGTAACCACACACACACAGAAGCCAGGTGGGTTTGTTCTGTTGGCTGGTTGGTGGTCTGACCTGTTTAGACTGGGTTGGTTGGCATCAGAAGACAATCTGCCACTTGCCAGTTGCGTAATTCCAAGTATTGTACTGATACAATAGTAGTGTAGTGTGTGTTAACAGGTAGCTAAATCATGACAAGTGGCTAACAGGTTTGATTGACTAACCAAATCATGTCCATGTAGACTTCATTTCACAGCGCGTTGGAACTTGGCTCGCCTTTCATTAAAGCAGCGGTATACATTTGGCAGGGCCAAACGCTAAAGTTTATAAAAGGTACACCCTGGTAACCAGATTACAACCTGCACGAGCGTCAAAAGTAAGCGACGTTCCCTCACTCTCCTTCTACCCTCACCAGGGGGCCGAAAGTTATAGTTTTGGCAAAAGTATACTCGATCCAATCCCCGCGTAGCCCACTCGCCCACTCCTCAGCGCATATGTAAATACTCTAGCGTAAGAAACGGCGTGCGACCATAGCGTAGCGCTCACGTTTAGGTCACACGCCAGGGAGCCCGTCTAGGCATACCAGAGCACAGACTGATTCAATCGCGAGAGTTTAGGGTAATGGTCTAGTACTCTCCACGGTAGGAAGTCCGCCGCCTCGCAAGCACACGAGCAGCCTCGCGTAGTCTCCGCACGCTCTCTCGTCCATATACTACGACATTTCGCTGCGCCTTCCCCTCGCAGCCTCGACCTGCCTCATCGCTGAGCATTGACGCCGGACCACGCCAGAGCTCGAGCCGTCGCCGCACCGCTGAAAGGATCCGTATACATGACCTTGCTCGATATTCCCTTTCCCGCCGGAATTAGGCGATTTCGTCACCCCGATCTGTCTCCCCTCGTCGCCCAAGGCGGCGTGGCTTCGACGCCTCACGCTGTGTGCTCACGCCACTGTGAATACGACGCGCGGCGCCTCGCAGAATAACGGGCCGCACTCGCGCGATTTCCCTTTCCCGCCATCTGATTTCCCGTTCCCGCCCCCGATTCCGCTTTCCTGTCGCCCGATTCCCCATTCCCGCCGCCCAGTACTAATTTCCCGTCGCCCTATTCCCCTTCCCGCCGCCCATTCTCCCCTTCCCGTGTCCCATTCTTCCCTTCCCGCCTCCCATTCTCCGCATCCCGCCGCCCATTCTTCCGGTTCCGCCTCCCATTCTCCGCTTCCCCCCTCCCATTCTCCCCTTCCCGCCTCCCATTCTCCCCTTCCCGCCTCCCATTCTCCCCTTCCCGCCTCCCTTTCTCCCCTTCCCGCCTCCCTTTCTTCCCTTCCCTTCCCTCTCCCTTCCCTCCCTTCCCTCCCTTCCCTCCCTTCCCTCCCTTCCCTTCCTTCCCTCCCTTCCCTCCCTTCCCTGCCTTCTC